GGGAGGTCGATCTGAGGGGGCATCTACAAGTCCTATGAGCGAGGCAAACCGGGGGGTGGGTGATGAGCTGGATGACTTAGCCGTGGGCATAGGGTCGTCCGCCTGCGTCCCACAATGCCAGGAGAGGTGTCCCACTCCCCCACACCGGTAACACTGTCTGGTTTCCCTTTCCTGGTGTATTTCCTTGGGACCCAGCGGGTTTCTGGCTCCCCCTGGGGCTCTTGAAGAGGCTGGGTTGGTAACCTTGGGACGGGTTGTTTCAGTCTGTGGTAGGGCCATGCTCCTGGGTTCTCTTCTGGAGGCCCGAAGCATATCTGTTGTGGCTTGATACTTTTCCACTGCTTCCACGGTTAGATCGGCCGTGGTCAGGGCCTGTTGACTGAGGAACCGCTTTGCCTCATAAGGCAGGGCACGTAAGTATCGATCCACCACCACGGCCTCTACTACTGCAGGCGCCGTATTCCTCTGTGGTTCCAGCCACTTCCGCGTGATCCGTACAAGTTCGTGCATCTGTGCACGAGGAGGTTGGTCGGGTTGGAAGGTCCAGTTGTGGAAGCGCTGGGCCATACCAAACTTGGTAATTCCATTTCTGCTCAAGATCTCCGTTTTCAGGGCATCATAGTCCGTCGCTTGGTCAGGCCCCAAGTCCCGAACAGCATTCAGTGCCTCCCCAGTTAGAAAAGGGGCTAACAGACCAACCCACTGGTCCCTGGGCCAGGCTTCCCTAGTGGCCGTGGCTTCAAAGGCATGCAGGAATGCCTCAACGTCATCCGTGGCACCCATCTTGGATAAATAGTTACTTGCATTTATTGGGCGTACATTCCGGTCGGCCATCTGTTTCTGCAGTTGTAATTCCTCCGCCCTCAGAAGGTTGGCTTTCTTTTGTTCTTCCAAGAGAGCCAAGTTTGTTTGCATCTGGGCTTGCTGGCCAGCAATAAGGGTCTTCAAGATTTCTTCCATTTTGTCCAGTGAGGGGCCTACAGTCAATCTAGAAAAGTGTTGAATCAATCTTTCGGTGTCCTCCTCTGACATGCACTAAATCCGCTTGAACAATGCCCGCATCCTCCACCATATGTGATGTCACGAGAGGCGCCGCCGCTCTCTCCGGGGTAGTTCAAAATAGTGCGAGGACACCGGGTTCAAAATGTAAACAAAAGGTTTTAATTTCCGTCCTTCAGGTTCAACAGAAAACAGTCAAAACAGGGGGTAACTCAGGCTTCGGTCAATCTTTGCCGGTAGAACTTAACTTAACGGAAATCCACTTCTGTAAGGAAAACAACACCGTCCTCCCGGTCTCTCCTGCCTCCTCGAATCCTTATGGCTTGGTCTGCTCTTCTCAGCTCGTCTTCCTCCAACGGTGTGTCTTCCACCTTTATGAAGGCCTCCGGGTCGTCACACCCTGATGGGTCTCAGGTGTGAGGGGAATGCTCTGAGTTTCGGGGCACCAGCAGATGGAGCCATAGTTAGAGCCATCGCCGGTGAACGTATCTCCCTTCCAAGACCAAGCCTCTCGTGACATCACAACGTGTATGCAGCATGCATACCATCAGGACATATTACTTTGTCATTACGTTACACCTTGATCTTTGATCGTCTTGCTCATAAATCTCTCACAGGATGTCAATGTATTGTCGTCACGCTGCCATCCGTGTGCACTCTCTAGACACTGAAGCGAAGCAACCTGTGCTGTGCAGAAGTGTGTCTAAAAATAAATGCAATCAAATGAATTTGACATGACGGGACACACTACATAGCATTGTAGTGTGGATATTTAAATGCACCATGGATTTAGATAATGAAATTCCCATTTTTAAGGTACCACCTCTGGTAAGGATGTATGTGTAGTGAATTGCCTTTCATTCCAAACGCAACTTCCACATATGCATATAAAAGGTTTAATCATCTAACATCACACTCATAGATCTACCTACAGACATTTAGTCTTCCTTTGACTTTAAGTATACATGGGAGGAGGCCGGTGGATAATCTTTTGAAAAATAGCAGTAAATATTTGTGAGTTGTTTCTCCCAACATGTTATTTATAAATGGAGTTTCGTATGACTAATGTTGCCGAAACATCTGGAAGATGGACGATCCGTGATGTGTAAGTGTACGAGTAGAGTGAAAAAAGGTCTCTTTAAAGTAAGAGCGCGCATCTGCAGCTACACACTGCCATCTACAGCTGTTTTTTATCCACTTGACTACATGTCGATGTTTTAATTAAAGGATGGATGTGTTATCATTGATATACTGGACCTAAATTGTACCCTGGTTATATTTACTGTAGACCTTTTGACGTTTTTTTCGATTTGATTGAATATTTTGGGATGTAGAAACAAGTGAAATGCATTATGTGACGAAGACACGGGATTATTTTACATCTACCAACGCTGTCCCCTGGTGTCCATAATGACTTACTGCATACACTGAAATGAGCCTGGCCCCTTGGCGATATTGACCACGTGGAGGCGCTCGTCTGCATCTATTTGAGACAAATTTACACACACACACACACCAAACATTTGTGCACATATGTATGGACACACACTACGATGGGGCTGTGAGGATATAAAGGAGATGCACTTTTATTATTTAAAACATTTTCATTCAAACGTGACTTCCGCAATACGGAATATACTTCAAATATGTGTCTGATCTCCTGAGATCTCATTATTTCTAAATTAAAGTGGACGAGAGTCAAATGATACTGTTTACACTGCACTGACTGGGAGAAAGAGACATTCAAACTAAGAAGGTGGAGTACATGATGACAGAGACAAGTTCACAAAATGAACTGAAAGTAAACACAATGAAATAAGTGGATCAGTCAGACAGAGAAAAATAATTTTCTGTCTTCCGCTCACTACTGCACATATGAACAATGATTGTTTGCTACATGTTGTTACTCCTGATTGACTATCGGTGTCACTGTCAATAATAATAATAATAATAATAATAATACATAATAATATGTGGCCCCACCTTCTCCAACTAAAGAACTGCTGTTATAAATTGAGAGCAGAACCTATGATAAAATAAAGAATCGATTTTGCTGTTTGCTTATCAATGAAGCACCACCATCACCACCAACAGCACCATCTGTTGTAAAGCTGCATCCTGTTGCTCAGTAGCTGATGTTGTTGCCCATGTAAAAAAATATCTCTGGTGACCCAAACCACTCATGAGAATAACAACAATCTTAATCTGTATTTTTCTTTTATACATCTAGACTCGGTGTAACTTTAACGAAACAGAAGTCATCATCTGGCTAATGAAAATTTAACCACAGCGCCCTCTAAAAGCACTCAGATCTGGAAAGTCAATTTGTTGAGGTTGCACTCACGATCTTTCGTGGTTAAGGCCTTTTGTAGCTTGACAAATTATTACACACTGACGCACTTCCTTTGCCAAACGCCTGCGCACACTGACACACCTCATCATTATCTGAAAACTGTTAAAAGATCTACTTTTATGTATTTCTTAATCAACGGACGGACACGAAATACGTGTAAGATACAAAGAAACGCAGGTCGCGAAAAAGACAAAGCCTCAGAATCTTTAATTACAAATTTTATTTGTGTCAGACCATTTTTATTATGAAGAATGTTGATTGTGACTTTACACTGCGATAACTGTACAGTTAAATGACAAAAAAGATTGAAATATTTACAGCAGGAAACGGAAAGGCTTGTTGTTGCAGTCAGAGCCATACACACAAAAACTTGTGTATCATGATTTACAACACAAATAGAACATAGTCAAAGACCTTGAATGAAGTAAACTCACACACTGCCACACTGTAATATTCTGCACTGTTAAGTCATTATGCTCAGTGAAGCTGAAACCATATACAGGCGATCATTTGAGAAATGGGTTTTGGCTTAGATACAGAGTACAGCCTTAAAAACAGCATTACAAAGAAGTATTGTAGCAGTAAAAATGTAACACGGTTGAATAAATAATTAGATTTCATGATGGAGTTGAAATCAAGAGTTCACACAACAGGTAAACAGAATGTAGTGTCTTTGTAACTGCTGATTAAATGTTGACATCATTCATATTAAACTTAGAATTGTCATTATGTCTCAGTAGGTCAACTCTGAAATCAATTTTGAGAAAGGGCTAAACATTTTTTTTTACTATACTAGCCGTATTTCCTTTTTTCTCCTCTTTGTGCACACAATGTCATCATGTTTCAATGTTTTCATGAATTCAACGGTGCAAAAACACCGCTGAATTGTGCTCTAAGAACCCCTGGATGGAGACTGTTGACAGATGTGCTTTGCTTTTGAATTTTGTTGGATTGCATATTCTTAAAAAATATACAACTGAAAATTTACTTCAGCGTGAAGTTAAAATAAGATACAAATAGAGACCATTCACAAACGTTCCTTAAGTGAAATGGTAAAGAGTACATGACAATTATACAGACACAAACACAAGCAGTGTGAAAACTAACTCCCCTCGGCATCGTCTACGCAGACTTGACTACACATTCAGGTAACATCGCAATGTGGACAACAGGGGGCAACAAAAGGCCATAAAACACGACAATCACAGATTTCAGTTTCATACTGTAGCCCTTCTGGTGCAACCAGGTGCAACCTTTTAATTGTTTAGGTCACACTTTGCAAATCAAACTTTCGAGCCTTAACCAAAAATGTTAAAAGCAGATTAAGAGTTGCCATCTATTAAGTCATCCCACATGTTTTGTTTTTTAAAAAGAGACAATTTTCCATCCCGCTTGTGTCACGATAAACACACAATCAGGCACGCATCTTGTCACACTCCAACCCTAACCATTTGTCATGTTCATTTTGATTGACATGCGAGACGTCGGTGACGCTGCGTGGAACTGTTCTTTCTCCACAGCTCGGCCAAGACTGCAGGAAAGGAAACAATTGTTTGGACTGACATTTCAATTGCAGGCTGCAAACTGTAAAACAAGCTGATTTCCGTTCTTCAGACACAATGATGGCAAATGCTGTTGATATTTAATGTTTTGTTTTTTTATGCAACAGCAGCAATGTGGTCCATTTTTGTGACCTTAAAATATTATTTTTGTTACACTGTGCTCTCGGAGCCATAACAAATTCTATAACAACCTAAAGTATTCCAGCTGTGAGAAACAAAAGCATCTCTCATCCTTTATTAGAAGCTTCAAATCTCCACCTACAGGATGGAATGAATCTGAACAGCCTTCTGTCATGACAAGGATTGACTCAAATGTCAATTTTCCCTCTCCCATCCCTTTGGTTTACTATAGTATGAATGATTTATAGATGGGATTTGTGCCATTTACAGCTATTATTCACTACGTCATGAATAAATGGCTACCTATTGCTAGCATGTGCAAACGATGTGTAAAGTTGACGAGTGATGCTTTAATAAACCATGCAAGTCAAATAGTTATCACGTACATTGACAATTGAGATTCAAACTTAAAGCTTAACCATTGAATTTTTCCAACACAGCCCGTCTCCTCTCCGTAAGTCTCAGAGGACCGTTTGTGCCATGCGTTGCTCAGGCGGGCCTACATTCTGACATTTTCTTGAAGGCCTTCCTGAAGCTGTCGTCCAGGAAGGCGTAGAGGAACGGGTTGAGGCAGGAGTTGGCGTAGCTCAGGCTGGTTATGAAATAGGAGATCCCGATCAGGAACGGCGTGTTCCTCAGGTCCGTCGTCAGAGCCACAATCGTGCTGAGGTGGAACGGCGTCCAGCAGAACAGGCAGACGGCCAAGACGATGAACACCATGATGGTGACTTTCTTCTTTGCCTTGTCCAGCGCCTTGGCGTTGCTGTTAAGCCGCATGTTCCTCAGCTTGTAGAGCATCATGGTGTATAAGATGCAGATGGTTGAGACGGGGATGGCAAAGCCCAGAATGAGCGTGTAGATCCGGCTCGTTGTGATCCACGAACCCTCCGGGCTCGGGAAGCTCAGCACGCAGCTCTTCCTCCCGTCATTTGGCCTCTCGTACACCCCGGCGAATACAGTGTAAGGCGAGACGATGAGGATAACGAGTATCCAGACACACAGTGAGATGATTTTGGCTGCTCGGTAAGTGCGGTAAGGCATGCGCTTGGAGCTCACCGTGGCCAAAACGACCAGGTAGCGGTCAATGCTCATAACGGTGAGGAAATAGATACTGGAGAAGATGTTGTAGTGGTCTATGCTCAGGATGACTTTGCACAAAACCTCACCGAAAGGCCAGTATTGCAGCAGGTGTTCGGCGATGTTGATCGGCAGCACCAGAGTGAACAAATCGTCGGCAATGGCCAAGTTCAGGATGAACATATTGGTAACGGTTTTCATCCTGGGGGCTTTGAGGATCACATAGATGACGGCCGTGTTGCCTGTCAGTCCGACGGCACAGATTACAGAGTAGATGACCGGTAAAATGATGTAGAGGTCAGTGTAGAAGTAAAACCCAGAGGGAGGAATGCAGTTCGGGTGAGTGCCATTCACTGACGTGAGGGAGTAGAAGTCCACGGAGTCGTTGCAGACTGGTGGTGCAAAGCCCGGGATGGACACGTTCTCCATGATTGAGACGGCACTCTCAAAACAATTATCTATTAAATATAAATATTTTTGGACATCCTCTCACAGAATGAATCAGTCATTTGTCATTAAGCCTAAAAAGTTGAGCACAAGAACAAAAACTGTTAAATCAAAGTGGGATTTGCCCTCTACTACATCACAGAAGAGACGCGTCTGACCAGAGAACAGAAGAGAGGTCCAGAGACCACTGGCAAGTCACCGGGAAGCTGAAAGCTGGTCCACAAATTCATTTACGATGTCATTCAGTTTTTTTTTACGTTAGAAGAAAGGGAACCTGTATACTAATTATGCGACCTGTTCGCACGCGCTCCATTTAGCGCGAGACGCTCCAGCAACAGTCCCGCGGGAGGGATTCTCTCCTCCGCGGAATACTCGCATTGTTCCGCGTTAAAAACCTGTATCTGTTTGGTTCCCTTTCGATGGAAAGGCTTCACGCTCCCTTAACAAAACGTCCCCCTATCAGTTGCGCATTGTCGAATTGCCGCATCCAGTTGTTTCGGAACCCCGTGGCGCTGCGTTCATCTCCACGCGGTCACTTATTCGGTCCACTAAAGTCGCTTCACTTTTCTTTTCTTTTTTTTTTTCTTTCTTCAGTTTTCAGTCCTCCGCTGGTCTGTTCTCTCGCTCCTTCTTTTGGATTCCTCCTTCCTTGCTGCCGGAGATTTAAAACGGGGAATCTAAAAGTTCGCCGTGTGTGTTTATCGGCGGAGCCTCACGTGCGCCCTGGAGACAAGTGGCGCATCTCCAAAAAAAATCTAGACGACAGAGAAACCACATCAGTTAGTTGTGAACCTCGCTGGAGATTGACAGCGGGCGCGTTAATGACCCCCCCCCCCCCCCCCCCCGTGCAAAATGTGACTGTTGACTAGTTTTAAGACGCTGAGTACAGCAGGTTTCTAAGGTTCGACGAGCAGAAGTGAAACACCCCCCGTTTCCCGAAATGCAAACCTGCTTACACACAATATGCACATTCAGTCTGGTCACAACGTCCCCCACTATCAAGAACAGGTTGCTCACCTTGATTATTTCCAAATCCTCGTCCACGTCTTAAAGTTAAAAAGTGTAGGCCTACACAGTGAATAAAAACGATAATCTTATACGATTAATGATATAAACTATAATGACTCACTGTGCGATCAGGCGATGGGTATTTAAGTGCATTGATTGAGTTGAGTTTACCCTCCTCTGTGTCCCTGCTAGAGCCACTGTCCTCCAGTCCTACCTCTGTGTGAGAGGCTCTGCTCCCTCTCTCCCTCCCTGTATCTCCCTCGTTCTCTCCCCCCTCCCTCCCTCTCTCAAGTGAAAAACGTACAGACCTCTACAGCAGCTTTAGTCTGCATCATTATGCTGCAATGGACCACAGACATGCTTTTTTTGTCCATCGTTTTTGTGTTTGCTTGCCCAGCCCGACTCTGTTATTTAGCTCACCAATGAAATATCTAATCAGCCAGAAGAATAAATTATACTTGTTCATTCATGTTCATTATGAACAAATGATGCGTGATGTGTTTTGCAGAATGAGGGCATGCATGCACATTAAGAAGATGTTCCGAGAAGCAGCAAGATAAATCTCCCCCGGTGGAGTCCAGACACGCCTGGTGGTGGTCGGGTGGTGGAGGTGGTGGTGAATCTGCAAAAACTAGGTGGGGGGAAATCGGAAGGCGATGGGCCGCGTACGGAAGGTAGAGAGACAATTGTATTTAAAAATAAACAGCAGCAAGATGATAGGCTAATGATGCTATTGTTTCTTTGTGCTGTTGAAGACACCAGCTGATCTCAACAGCTGATATCATGATTGACAGCCGGGAACAATGACAGCAAGGAAATTATGAGTGAGCGTGTGTGAGGAGTGAACTGTAGGCCAAAGCATGCAGGAGTGTAATCTTCCTGATTATACTCGCGCTTCATTTCAATCAGGAGACACAAGATGAGGTACTTCAAATTATATAGATCTGGCTAAACAGTAAATCTGCTGCTTATAATGAATCACCCGTCACTCATGAGACATTAAAGACTTGGAATTCAACAGGGAATAATTTCAGGAAAAAGAGCACTGACTGAATCTGACCTGCGATTGATCCATCGACACCACACGATGAACACGAGTGCACTTATCAGAATATGACGCTTGTAACCAAATACAGAAAGAAATGAAAATGTAGGAAATTAAATTATGACAAGATACGTGGTTAGTAGCCAAAAACAACGAATAGATGAATGTGTAAAAATATATATCTACAACCAAATAACAGATAAAAAAAGGAAACCGTGGGAGGCAAAATGGCCACTGAGGCAACATGAGTATGAAGTATAAAGAATATAAAGAGCAACTGTCTGAGACTAATTATCTATACGTATTGTATACAGCAGGTAAAGAAGTACCTCTAAATGGACCCCACATGAAATTTCCCTATAATGTTGCTGCTGCAAAAATTTGAATACACTAAAAGTACGCTGCTTTAATGGATGACATCATGCCAGATTAATGCCACATGAGAGAATCAATTTACCAGCATGTGTGGTCACAAGGACTATGATGTGATGATAAATTGAAATGCAATATATGTAAATGACCCTTATCACCCTAGGAAGACGCCCAATGAGATTAAAACCTATACCACGGTGATAAACCCTCCAACACTCCAACAGCTCTTTTCTGCAGTGCAGTAGAACTAACAAAGGCCCGAGAACTGACTTTGTTGCCCTTTTGAAATACATTTTCCATTTAGAATTCAAGTTACTGGGGAACTTTTAACTGGTATCTCCAAACACATGCTAATGCTTCCAAATGCCTTTCACAAGTAAGCAGGGAGATGGGCAATTTTGATGTTATTCCTAATGATTGTCATTGGTGCCACAAGGTCATATTCCATGTGATGCCACGGAAAAATCACGAAGCTTCTTTAGCTCGGACTGAAGTGGTCAAAATCAAGGTGATTGCTTCAGTGCAGTAGCAACCTCCTGAGTGAGAATTTCAAGGCAACGTGATGCAGTTACATATTGATGATTAAATAAAACAGGACCTTCACATGTCACGTATAAAACAAACACACGCAACAAAACCAAGAGGTTTGTAAATCATTATTCAGTGTAGTCTCATATATGCAGTAGTGACACATTATGCCAATCCATGATTACTGTCTGTGGTGTCAGTTATGATTCCTTTTTAAAATTATAATTTTCATGAAAATGACCAAATGACAAATTAATTTGTAATTTGTTTTCTATCTAATATAATTGTGTTGAAATGAAAGAATGTGAAAACAATAAAGGAAGAATGCACCAGTAACTCTGATATCTCACCGTCTCTATCCTTACATCAATATTTGGACAAGAGATGAAGAGGAAGCAATAGTTAATTTATTTTCCATGACAGATGATGTTGTGTGTGCAGAGTCAACCAATATAGAAGCAGTAAAATTACAATATGCGAAATTTTAATGACAATGTCAAGTACTAGACGGTTCATGTTGTTGGGCTCAAATATTTGCCATTCATCCATTTTGTATTGTTTTTTCTTTCTTAATCTGGCCGCGATCTGGAGCCTTTGGTAGCATGAAGCGAACTTTGACACCAAGATTAGACTTAAATAAATTCAGACTTTCCAGCTCATTGAACCCGAATGTTTTGCGAGTGGAAAGAAACCGGAGCACCTGGAAGCAGAGCAAACATACACAGTGATAATCTGAAAATGTTGCGAGGTAAAAAACATCTTGCAAATGTGGTTCCATTAGTGCTTTTATATTTTCCTTCAGAAATGTATGTTGACTACACGGTAACCACAGCTCTGTAGAGCAGCTAACATTTATGGCAGAACATTTATTATTGCTAAGAAAAGCTGCGTATGAACTATAGTTGACAGTTTAAACACTGACTGATATCAGTCCTAAAAGCCTCGTCAAAAAGAACTGATGGACGGACTTCACTTCAAAGGTCAATCCGTCCTGCAGTGTTTGTGTGTGCGTGTGCGTGTGTCTGTAACCCAAGAAGGAGGCTTACTTCTTCATCGACTTTATGAACAATATATAGATTTTGAACACTATATGTTTTTGAGAGTGTACATTTGAATAATATTATAATATAATAATATCGTTTTGTCAGGGAAGGATGGAGAAACGATTAACTCCAAATTAGCGTAGAATGATGCCACCTGATTAAAGTGGCACCAATTCCACAGAGCCTCCCCGATTGGCCACAGACAGCAGGTGATGGGGTATGAACGGTAGACTTCACTGGTTGGTCAGTTTCTTCAATCTCCAGGAACATGGAGAAATCCAATTGTTATCCTGTTACCGTTCTTTCTATGGCTGGATTTTAATAAAGAAAATATCTGCGTGCTTCCCTGTTGAAACTCACCCCATCAACACCTCTGCAAGAGCAGCAAGCAGCAAAATGTCTTTCTAAAAGATGGATCAGTTGGTCAAATCCAATTAAAACATTTTAAAAGGTCACTTTTCAGGGGAGATTCTGATCCCTAACATAACAAAGTCCAAATGGATTTAATCAAAGATTGCTATTTCTTGTCTCTACAGTTATCTTAATACTTTAAATTGGTGAAAGTGCCAACAGATTATTTATTTTAGGCTGTGTCCATGGACTGGTGCTCTCCTCTGTTGTTCCCCTTAGCAGCAGCAGGAATTCCAAACATTGCAACTCAATATGAGCATCCAGGGAATAAGCAAAAAAAAAAAGAGTTACTGTAAAGGATATATCTGATGGCAACAAAGACCCCCCCCCCATTCTGGTTTTCCAAAATATCCCTTGTTTAATCCATGAGCATGCGAGCAGACTTCCAGAGAATGGAAACGTCCTGACGCAGACCTAGAAAGGAGATCTATTAGGCTCCAGCATGCTTACGTTGGCAGCGGTGGACACAGTCATAGCTTCGCCCCCCACCAGGAAGAAAAACACTCAACATCATGAATTCATAAGACCAGACATGCCAATAAATGGTTCCTAAAAGCCTAATAAAACAATGTATTTCTTGTAAACGCTCAATAAAACAGCTGCTGCTTATTCAATACAAGGGGAAAAAAAAGGACAAGACAGTTGCTAGACTTCCAGAGAACCCGCTGTTTAATAGCTCTGAAACAGTTTACACATTTACCAACAACAGAATGATATCTGTACAGTATTCACATCATGATAATGACCAGACAGGAGTACAGCAAGTTACAGAGGCTGTACTAACTAAATCAACATTTCTAGCCTTGGAGGAGAAGAAATGACTGTTGTGAGTGTCATCCAAATAATATTGCATTGACAAAGCGTGGTCCTAGTTAGGACAACTTCAACTTCACAACATAGATGGGAAATCGCAACGCAATTGCATTTAGATTGAACCTCATGGAACCTCATTTGTCCACAGTTAGGAATTATTCTGATTGGGGTTGCATGGGTAGATGCCCACCCCAGCATGCATTGGACAAGGAGGCGTTAAGTATCACGTCGCCAGTCACAAAGCTATTTTACAAAATGTAAATTTACACCATATGGAACATGAGAAGATTCTGCACAAGACACTCAGTCATTAAGGTCAGTGATTACACAAGAGATCATGCTCATTAAACACTGTACGTTATCATGGATAATTACCTGCGCTATCTGCATGTACATGGTGACGGGGTTCTGTGTAATGCATCTGAGTGGGTGTGCATATCTAGTAGTTATATTTCATACGGGAGTGGAGGCGTGTGTCAGGCAATAGCAGCCCCGTGTGACACACACACACAGACACACACTTAGGCTGCCAGTTTGGGTTATTACAGTAATTGGTGTTCAGCCAATTGTTGATTGTTGATTGTTTGTTAGCTTAAAAGTAGTTAGTTTTTTTCCGCTGAGAAGGGCAGAGGTTAAAGTAGGGATCCGATTTTGTATTTGACATACTGGTAAAGCTTTCAGTACCACATTTGAGCCAAAACGGCACAATAAATCCAATTTGAAAATTGTTGAGACATTAAGAGAGCTGATGGATGGAGGTAAGAAGACAATGACGGTGAAATTAAAGGCAGGGAGAAATTGAGGTAGAAATGAGACCATCGAATGTGTGGTTAACCTTTGATTCAATACTCTCAAAAAAGAATATTATTCTCCCCTCAGCTCTTGCCAAGAGTAGTCCATGCTCTTTCCACCTCCTCTCCGTTTTCAAATAGCTGAAGGGAAGGATTTTATTATGGAGGGAAGGATTTAACTAAACAATGATAATCGTCATGATTATCTAACTACTCACTTTTCCCCATAACTATTGTTAAATGTGGCACTTAGGTGTCTCTATTTGAAGGTTGCAGGGTTTTAAAGAGTGATGGACCATCTAGTGGCAGAGCTTTTCAACTGGCTCGGCTGCGGGACCCACCATCACCCTTTTAGGATTTTCCCAAATCAACATTTTCATTGGCAGCTTTGATTCACAAATTTAAAATAATTTACACAAAAAAAGTGCAATTGTAAAAGATATAGAAAATGAACTTTTCTTCTGAATGTTTCTTTCCCCTCGAGTGCCTGTTTTTCCTTCAGGCACAAAGAAGTAAGACCTTTTTGGGATGTCCTTGTGTCTTGAACTCGTCTTTTGAAAGTACCCAAGAGGTCTATCTTTGCGAGCTTTCTTGTGCCAGAATCTCATTGGAAAAAAACATATTCTGGCCTTCCTTTGTCCTCATTGTGAGAACATCCACATCTCACGTAGTCTGTGTCGCGCTTGCATTTCGCCGCGCTCAATTAGCATATAAAAAACGAACTTTGCAGGTGTTCTTCTACGCTCTAAATTAGCAAGTGACCATTAGCATTATAATACGTTAACGGCAAATACTGTGTGGATAGATGGCACTCTGCAAAAAAAATCCCTTTCAAAATAAAAGCACAAGAAGCCCCGCAACCCATTAGTTGAGAATAACTGGTCTAGTGTTACTAATTCTTGTTCTTGTTTTAAAATTGTACACGGATTCCTCTTATCTGCCTTGATTGGTGACAAGCTGAGGAGTCTCATAATTCCGTTGACACAAAGCTGCATGCAGAGTAACATAAAAAAAAAAAAACTCTACATGTCAGCTGTGTAGAAGTTCTTCAGTGTGAGTGGTGATATAAAGCTAGCAATTAATAACAAATGCAAGGCCAAATAGTAGACTTAATTTCAAGCCATCGATACCGTATGATGTTCATGCCTTATTGAGCAATTTTCAATGTTTCTTGATGAAGTTTTCATTTATACCATGAACATTTGTGGATATGTCTTGTTTTGAGGGTTTCTTTTTTCTTTTCATTAAGTCAAAAGTCTCTGAGAACAAAGCAAAAACTGTCTCTCTCTTTTTAGGACCGAACCTTCTTTCTTTGTAAATGGTCTCCTCAGCTCCATTATAAGCAGACATGATTCATTCCCACCATGAAGCCCATTTACTCTGAAATTGTTGTGTGAATCTAAGAATTTAGCATAAATTGCATTTATGTAACCACAATAACACACAATCAGAATATATTATCATATTGTATTCAAATATCTTCCATTCTATATAAGATGCATCCAAGCAACACGTGAATTAAAGGAATACCCAAATGTTAATATAGTCTCATTTAAACCTGCTCCAGTAATAAGCCCATTAATTTAAATATTTACCCAGCAGTTATTTTTGACATCTATTGCTGCTGCATTTGCTTGTTTAAACTGTGTTGCCTGCTTGGATTACGTATTAAATTGTCTTTTTACAATAGCCGCTCTGCTGACGGGAAACTTGTCCACGTTTGTGATTGGTAATGAATTGCAAACATTGCTCTTTTTAAGTCAATGCACTGCAAGCCAGATTTAGAAACTCAACAGGTTTATAAATACTGCTGTCGGATCGCTTGGAGTTATCAAGTTAGTTACCAAAAGATTGGCTGTGGATGTTGAGCTCACTCCGTAGTACAAGGCCCGTGGCTTCTTTGCTTACCAATTACACGGTCCTGTTAGAGAAGAGCAGCATATTTACTTGTGATCATAGGGAGCACCTGCACCCAACCTTCCGAATCACAGTGAAAGGAGACACATCCAGCCTTGAGACTCACTCAGTGTTTCATCTTTTACAACCTTTCACGTTTTTTCTCGCAACGTAATTGTTTTTGGAGAATAAATTCATTTTCACGTTTTGTTATATACCCTTATTTGCCCCGCCCCGTATGACCAGTGGAAACCGTATGACCAGTGGAAATGCTTAAAACTTCACTTAAGGATTATAACATGCTTCACATCTTCAGAGTGGTTTCCAGCAGTCTTATTTCAGTTTTTTAAATGTATTTTCAACAGGTAAAATAGCAATAGAATTTCATTTTTAAAAAACCTACACACACATAGATATATATTCTATAAGCTGCGATAAATAGCTTTTGCGGCTTAGAGACAAACGTTATTTTGTAGAAAAGGAAGCCTAACCGCTGCCGTGGCCGGTTCTTGTGCTCTCCTCCCACACCGTGCCTGCATGTCATGGTGATTAGCCTCGTCTCTCCCATTGCCTGGCAACAGCGATAATGACAGTGGGAGGATTTTGCTACTCTGATCCAGCTGTCAATGAGGAAAAGAGAAGAAAATGTTTGTCTGTAAAATTTCAGTCAGGTTATGCAAATGAATTTGTAGAGTGTGCTGTAATTATATATTCAATTTGAGGCATTCATTGTATCTTTGCGGCCAGAGAAGTTACAACGGTCACTGTGTGCCTTTCCTGTCGAACTGAATTGAGGCAAAGACCTCTACGCCTCTACACCTCTACGTCGTCTTTACTGCTTGACGCTAAAGAAGAAATTGGAGATTTACCGACGCATGGCTGTCATCGCCGTCATCATCGTCAAGTCCTGACGTAACACTGCTCGACTCCAGACTTAATCCGGCTCTGCACTCTCTCCGTCTCAGTGGGTATTTGCTCTGTCTTTATAAAATGTCACTCTGGCACCTCACTGCAGTCTGGTCATGAGGCATATTTTGGTAAAGTTGTACATTTTAATACTACTAATGGTGTATGACTGAAGCAATATGTGGTCGTAATTGTAATTCTTAGTAAGATCGTATGTTTTTTTCACCCTTCGTTTTGAGATACCACTTTTGCCTTTCAATATGTTTGAATACGCGGCGTACTGAATTAGTCACTAAAGTTGTAAAAACATCTCAGATACTTGTATGGCTAAGCAACAAATACAAGAGCTATCAGTTTCAAACTTAATGATTCATCTGAATCTCAGACGTTGGAAAATGGCCCAGGAGCAGAAATTGTATTTGAGTTATTTGATGATGTATCCAGAAACGCTCCATTTTATCTTTCAGAACATGTCGCCCTTTTAACCGTCTGTGACATCTATGATTGTTGCTGCCTTGTAGCTTTGTAGGTTTTAAAGCCTTAGTCGGTCCCCTAATCCTTTTATTTTGCCTCCTCCATATGAAACTGATGATTTGATTTGGATCAGTTGGAGAATATTATATTAAAACACAGCAGTGTTTTTTGGGGCAGCAATTCAATTTGGATCGATCAGGGCAATAAAACGGACTGCTTTCTAAAGCCCCGAGTCATGGATGTGTATTAATAAAAGGGAAATTAATTGAACCTTTATCCTATTGCGTCACCACTATATTGATAAAGGATATACATATGTATAGTTTTTAAAATCCTTAAAATATACACATACATATGTGTGTGTTTTGTCCGATGGTTGCAACCAATTACTTTATTTTAAGTTCAAAACAGACAATTCTTTCATTAATTTCTTTCCCTAACGCTTTACCCAGACACAACATTAACTAAATACATACATACATACATCTAAATTAAAGCTTGGTGTCTCTTGCTCGGGGGCGGTAGATAATCCACATTATCATTTCACTCTTCTGCCACATGATTGAAGCTCATAATTTAATACTGGGCTGACCCAATTTCATGTTATACATTGTATTAAGTGGTAGAACATGATATATACAAAAAGCAAATATGCTCTTTTGTGCCCAACATGAGGTTGAATCCATCTAGAGCTCCTTTGTCAACCAGTAGATTAATGTTATTGCTTTTTAGGGACAATTTTTCTCTTTTCGGATTCATCAATATAGGTCCTTGTTAAATGCACCAATTAGATGACATAAGATGCCTTTAGTGGAATTTTAAATCGCCAATAGACATATAAAAAAGAAAATCAATATGTGCCAAAAAGTTACTCCAAAAAAGGCCAACCTGAAGGTAACGCTGGCCAAAAAATCTAAGACTAGTCGTTGTGGGGATGTTTGAAACAACGGTGTCCTTCTTGTGTCACTTGCAACACACTGTTGCAGGATGCTTGGCAGCTCGCTGACATTTGGGATTTATTTGGATTGACTTGCCTGGAATAACCCAAAGATCTTCACACCTTAAAATTTAACTGGGGTAAATCTAGGAGGAGGTACACGGCAGCTAATCATTTCAGTGATTTGCAGCTCAAAAACCGATACTTCAAGCATCATCAGCCTCAGTCGGCCCCCTTACCTGATCCCCCATATGAAACATGTATAGGTTTTGGTTATTCTGTGATTTGATTTAGATCAGTTGTACAATAGAAAATTAAAACAATGTTTTTTGGGCAGCAATTAAATTTGGATCGATCAGTGTAATAAAACTGACTGCTTGCTAAAGCTGATGATAATAAAAAGAGGTCATTTTCAAGTAACTCCTACTTTAATGTATTATTTTTCTCTCTTGGTAGAAAAAGAATCAATGTATAAATCTGACAGGCACTGCAGCTGTAATTACACTTTTTCTCATTCTTTTCCCAGGTTCATCGTGACCCTCTATTCTTCTCTGGCTGCCACACGGGAGACTGAAAAGGCTCAATATCAGTGACTAGTAACTCCCTTTATCAAGGTTGTAAGTTTTTATTAAAGCTACAATGCTGGACAGTGTCAGATGATTTGGAAAACACAACCTTTTTATTTTTCATCATGTCAGTCTTTTGTGAAGAAGAAATAGAGATTTAGACTTAAAAACTCATCACAAAGGCCTTGGCTGCTGTAATGTCAGCTATTTTTGGCCGGTATTCCTTTGCCTTTTGTGTGTTGGAGTAGAGAGAATGTCTGATAGTCAAAATAATTACAAGCCACACAGTTGGTCTTCGAGACCCTGCAGGATTGTAAGCAAGTCATTATTATTTTTTGGACAATTTAATTACCTTAAATTGTGAAATATCCACGACTGCACTCAAATTGGGAGTGTTGGAGTTGGAGTCACCAGAAAACATGGATTTTACATTAATCAGAGATGTAGCAGAGATCATGCTTGTAATAATAACAATGGATGCTCTTTTTTTGGGTTGCATCGAGCTTTTTTGCGTGAACAATTAAAATTAGGCCTTTGTTGCAGAAAAGTATGTGTCTGACTAAAGGCATACTTTTTTTTTTTAACAAAAAAAACAGTGTTGCACTGTGTTGGATTGTGCAATAAGCCCAAGATAACTTCCATAAATCTCATCTTTTATCCCAAGCAACATATTGGAGCAAGTAATTTAATAATTAGCTAACAAGTTTCTCCAGTGTTTCTATAAACCACGGCCTACTAGAATATCACTGTGCATGTACATGTAGTTAGTGTCGGCGATTATTGCATGATGTATGTGTGTTTGTGTGTGTTACGCAGATGGCCTGAGGATCTTCACTCAAAACTCCATCACGAGAGGGTATTATTGCCGAGCTGAAGAGAGGAGAATGCTTCTCTCCATTTGTTCACTCTCCTCGAGTGGAGACCAATTTTCCTCTCATTGTTTGGAAAATGGGAGTCTGGGAGTTACGTTGCAGCTGGGCCTTTTATCACCAACCCCCTTATGTTTTGTCATATACAGTCGTGACTTATTTTGCTATGCTAAACTGTTCTTCTGAAGTGGCTTTCAAGGGGCTCTGACATCACACACCTCCAGGTCGAGACACTGCATCTAAAAATAACTTAACGCGATTTGAGATGCCGTTACTAAGTGACTCTAAGTCCTGAGATGCATTGAGTCACCACTCATGTGAATTAAATGACTTCCGTATGGGTGTGAAAAGTCTAAGCTGGAGCAGGCAGACTTTAAAGACTTTAAAAGACATTGTTTGTCCTAGAACAATAGAAAACAAGGGATTAACAGGGCTAAAGGCCCAGCGATATTAGAAAGAATAAACACTAAGGAGCGCTTTTACATTTAGAAGAGGTTGTACAGTTCGACTCGGCTTCCTACAGCGGCCTGTTTACAGCCTTGTTATCAGGGTAAACACAGCTGCAGCTAATACAAATGAACAATGGGTAGGTTATATGTCTATAACAACCACATGTACTGGCAGTTGTTTCCTGCTAAATATAAGTCAAACTTAGCTTTAATTAACTTGTGACAAATTGGTTCTGTATTACCGTTCAGATTTTTGTCCACATCCTCTGTTTTCTACAGGCTTGTACATTTGCCTTGCAAAGATACAAAGTGAAATAATAGGGATGATTCATCAGGGTGAATTTCAGCCGGATGCAAGCTGAAAAAATGTTTTATGTCAGTCAGTCTTGTAAAATTGTGTTTCAGCATAGACTCTTTAGAGAAATACTAAATGGTCGTTGTGGTTGCATAGACTAAAGTATAATTGAGGTGATTGAGCCATTGTAGGAAACTGAAGGAAACATCAGGACTATACTTATCGAAATGGGCAAATGTTAGATGTAAGGGAAAGTGATCTTGTTTAAGGGAAAGGTGTTGGCAATTTGGCCTTTTATGTTGTTCTAGTTCACTACATGACAATGACATTATTTACAGCATACCACAAATAAGAGTCCCAAATCTATTTTCCTTTCAACACTCACGGACAAACAAGCAAATCAATAAAATAACTAATTTGTGTAAAGGCAAACAAAAATGCTTGGTGGGGTTTGTTCAAATTCAAATTTGTTCAAATATAAATATTAAAAAATCTACTTTTGGAGTGAAATAAGTGAGTTATGTTAGGATACGGATATTTACGGAATAATTTACTCATTAAAATGAGTCCCTGTTGCCCTTTGGTTTTACATGAGACATGAACCGAGGTCTCCTGGGTGAGAGTCCTGTGGTTGTTTGATTCTTCAGTCACCATGAAGCACAGTGAAGGTCAGACCTCCGACAGAAGTCGACACGCAAATTGTTTTTGTTGCTAGATTAAAAATGTTGCATAATACGTTTCATAATACGTTTCACAGTCTTTCATGGATATGAAAGCATATTCTACAGTTAAGTAGAATGAAATATCCTCATGACGCGGATTAAGATGCTGAGCATGTAATAACTGCTTGTACTTACTCCCAACTCGTCAAATACTGCAGCTTGGTGTGTGTGGCCGAGGTTGTACTATACGTCGTATCTTTTTGCAAAGAATTACATTATGTGATCCTCATATCTGGAGATTTGTTGGCCAACACATTGTCCCAAACCTTCAGGTTTTACCCTCATGATCTGTCTCTACGGGTCTGCTCCCAAATGGGTTCAACCAATCCTGCAAGTCCCCTCCAATTCCACACTTTGGTGTCGTCAAAGTTGGAGATCTCTGCTCCTCCGGGTCTGCAGGGTGCACAGGTGTGGGACTCTCCAGAGTGTCTGTCGTTGTTCTCTGCTGGTGATCTAATGTGGTTGAACATGAATACACTCACGCAAACAAGCCTGAGGGCTCGATCTCTATCTTTAAAAATATGTGCAAAATGTGACGGTCTTTCGTTTAAAATTAGTATAGAAATCTTGATTTTAGGACTTGACTTTTTTACATTCTCCTTTCTGTCTGTTCATCCTCACTGAGTTTCGGATAAAACCCTGTTGAGCGATATAACCTTGAAAGGAAATATCTGCTGAGAAGGATTGGGGACAATTTTCACCGCTTTAATTCTTCGGGCGCCTTTTGTGCCGAATACTTCAAATGGGATATTTTAAGTTTCATTATGTTTCTGAACTAATATTGATGTTATATATATATATAATATAGATGAAACATTTGATAGGACACTGTTGCTTAGTAAAAAATACAAATAATCCCTGATCCATTTTTATAAAATTAGTGACTTTGTGTTTTATGTGTAAAGCCAGGATTAAAGTAAAGGGGAAAAAAAAACAGATAATATATGACGACAATGGGGTTAAAATTGTGACAGACCGATATTCTTTACTTTATACTCTGATCTGATAATGGTTGAGATTCCTAAGAAGCTATGATGAATGTGTGGAAAGGAAAGTAAAACCATTCAGTTATTCAAAAGGTACACCACAAAAGTATTTGCCAGTTTGTCAACATGAGCGATATTTAATGGAATGCAGCCACCGTGTTGTCGGACATTTCTGAAGCTATCGACTGAAACGGATGGGACTGGAAGAGACAAGCTGCAGAGACGGCGGTAACAATTAGACATGGTACCTTAAAAGCTTTCTATTTATAGAGAGAAGATGAGGAACTGAACACAGGTCACTGTGGCTTCCTTGTTTTGATAAACCAACAATAATGCATCACATTTCGTTGCTAGACATCGATGGAATGTCATAGCTGAGCGACACGTATCATTTTGATTGACTGAGGTGTATGCGGCTTAAATTACACCAGCTTATGGATGTTATCTAAAATAATCATTCTGTTTTGTCATGTCGGTGGGAAATGGGGCAACCATTGCTAAGCTCTACAATAAGACAAAAGAAAGAAACAAAGACTTCAGATCATGTTTGAAAAGTAAGAAAACAGACATTTTCCACTTCCCCCCAATATGCAAAGCATGTGAAAGAATAAGAGTGGATAATAATATTGGAAAAAGACAAGTTGGGGAAATACAATTTACAGAAATGTAGAGCAAGCTAATAGATTTATGACAGAAAAGAACAGAGAAAAGGGGAAACAAAGAGAAAGCGCGAGAGCATTTATTATCTAACATATAAAGGGATGAAAACGCAGCCAAGCAGTCAAGGATAACATCTGCCAGCAGCTCTGCAATACGTCGGAGGGACAGAGAAAGACAAAGTGACACGCACTTTGTTTGCATATCAAACTGATCTTTTTCCTCCCATATGGACCCTGACAGAAAGCTGACATTCATCATATGAAATCTTAAAAAGGTCACAAGTCATAAGATCATAATAGAGTAGAATTCGACATTGACGCTATTGTATGGAGTTGTGCTTTGAGATGGACTGGCTTCCCGGATATAATAGGTCCCAGACACAGAGGACAGGGAGGACTCAAACGCGGTTCGGCAGGTTTCCCAAACAAAAACTACTTTATTCAAGCGGAATATCAAAAATGCCTGAGCGCAAACCATGAACCAAGACAGCCCACGACACACCGTACAACATAGACAAAGACACGCATGGTCTAAATACACTGAAGAGGTGCAGGTGATTGGACACTGCAGGAGATCCGGCACACTCACAGGAGAAAACACACCAGGGCAGGAAGTGAAGTCACATCAAGCACACGAGAGGCAGGAAACTACAAAATATAACGTGACATATATTTATGGTGTGCTTTAATGAAAATATAGGGTAGATTAAAGACAGAAATGCTCCTTAAGCCCCTAGTCTGGCGGCCTACCTCTTTAGAGGACTGGATTTACAAGGTAATTATGTGGGGGTATAGTTATAATATATATAATATTATTTGAGAATTTAAATCATCTGGTTTACTTCCAGCACAAGTGTTTCCCTGTGGTAGCATCCCGTATGTTATTGTTATCTAGCAAACAAGAAAAAAGGCATTAACTTCATATTAGAAGTAATACCTCAACAGCACATCTGCGCCCCCAGCATCCATTTCCCAACAACTTTGACCTTCATTACAGCTGTCAGAACAAAGTGTCCCCAGGCTTCCTGAAATAATAAATTAACCCACACGTACCAAATGAACAGCCGTTCTCAGCAGTCTTGACTGAAACATTTCTACTACAGGGACTATAATTTATATTCTTGACTATTTCGGATCTCATGGAAGAAAGTTTACATTTGTTTATATATAAAATGCAATCTTTCAAACGTGTTTGTACGTGGAATACGATTAAGGTGAATCTGGCAGTTAATTATAAAAACAGTGAACATTTGTAGTAGTAACTTGCACTGGATTTAAGCAAATTAGTATGTGCTCAACTGAAAAACGTTTTTTTGGTATGAATTATAAAAATGCACTCGTCTACGTAAGAAAGACAAAAGAAAGCAACTACAAAATGATGCAGTACTCATAATGTTCAAATAAGTTACACCGTAATCAGTTCATGCAGTTCAAGACCCACAAGATACCATCTCATCCCCCAACACCCTGTCATGGTGTTATGTTTGAATCACTGAAGCAATTTGGATTTGCAGAGAATTTTTACTGGGTCAAAATAATATATCTCAGTCGAGTATCTTCTATTCTCACCAATTGAGACAAATCCCACCAGGATAGAGGTAAGGTAATGCCTTGAAAGGAATAATCTCAGACATACATTCTGGAAATCTCTGCAATTTAAATTGTGTACTACCCATGTTATCCACCTTGGATATAAGATTTCCAACAACCCCGACCTACTGATTGAATTCCTTGGAAGTGATGAAAGTTAAAAGTTCCCTTACCACGATTGTCCGTATATAAGCAATAAAAACGGTTGCACTTCCAGGCTTTCTGAAACGTTCCCATCTTTCTACCACTTTCTATCTTGTAACAACTTGATTTTGGTTTCCTAATATGGTATATTTGAGGTACTTTGGATCATTTAAATAAATTCTTTACTAGTAAAACATTGTGACGCCAAATCTGTGTCATAAATGGAAGCAAAAACCTATAAGCATGAAAACATATCATGTACTGTACTTCTATCAATATGTGCGAAAGGAATACTGCTACTTACTTTAATCCATAGAGACCACAAGGAAGGAAGGTTTGTTTATCGAAATACAACCATTTACGACTTGATTTCTCAAAAAAACTGATCTTGCAAACATATATAATTTGCAGAAAGCAGCAGAAATGTTTCTGAAACACAATCAAGCTATTTATGTGTAGGTGTTTATAAAAGGAAGCGTGAATAATACCCTAGATGAGTGTTGACACAGCAGGATAACAACTATTTGAAAGCAATAATGAGTTGTAGCCTAAGGCCAGACCCTTTTTTTATTTGGTAACCGTGAGAAAAACAAGTTAGGAATCATCACATGGGATCACTTGAGTTTCACTAAAATCGGCCTTTCTATTCAGTCGTTTCATTTCCAGCGGAGAGACACAAGCAGAAAGACCGTAAGACTGCAAATCAATATTATATTTGTTAGCAGATGATGTTGGCAGAGTTCTTTCATCTCTTGTTCTGCTTGGACACACACACACAGAGACACTTCAAGTATTCATACCACACACTAGTAAAGAAAGCTCAAAGCCCTACAAAACAAGAACAGATGCAGCATCATTACACTTAAAGACAGGATATTATGAAGTGCTGAATGTTATTTTCAGCCCAATTTACGCTATAAACCACAAAGTTACTGGAGAGGTCTGCATACATGCTGAGAAATCTTCTCTTTCAAGAATGTTTATTCAAATGAGATGATGCGGTGCAAGTGCAAACTGCTGAGTTGTTCAAAAATGCTGCTACCGCAGATCTTACTTTAAAAAATAGAGACAGTAGAACATGCTATATATGCTATATCTAAACTCAAAGTGTTTGTTCCACTTTTAAAAGTCAGTTGGGCTGTTATGAAAGTGTTTGTGTGTGCGTGTTTATTGGATGCACACAGTAAGCAGTAACAGCATGGCCCCTTTATGTAACTTCAGATGGAACCACAGGATGTGTAACCTGCTCTTCGTTTTACTACAAACTAAAGGTTTTTTTTTTAAATAACAAGATGAGAAGTGAGAGTGTTGTGTCATGTGGCAGAGGGATACTCACAAGTTTTACACAATATGTGGGATTTGTGTCTAGCTGAAGAATACATCCCTTTATTATTTTCTTGGAAGGACTCCCCTTGTTTTTTCCCCCAATACTTGACACTTTTCAGGATATCTAAAAGTAAACATTATCCTTAACCGTAACCTTTGGCATGCATGAAACACATTGCTAGATATTCCTTGTCCAGGTTGTACTGCAAATAGAAATGCTTCACTGCTGGTAATCACACCCTGACTGCTTTGGTGAACCCCTGAGCTACCAATCTGCTCAGAAAACCAGCTTGCAATATATACCACTTGAATCAGCTTTCTCCATTTCTACTATTTATGGGTCTGTGAAATTTGTCCCCAGAATTGGCCAGTAGCTCCTGTGTGATTGCACTACTGTGCATTACAGTACACATGTTTCTATAAAGAACTACAAATATTTAAAAAAACATCAGTCAAAGAATTGATTTTTTCTGATTATTGTAGCGTGCAGTGTTTCTTTGTTCTTGTTGGTTTGTGTGTCTGTCAGTTTGTGTAGATGCAGCAACGTTTTTCTGCTTCACATAATCGGGGAAGGCTTTTGTGACTGAATGTCATTTTTCCTGCATGTATATTTCTGATTTAAGATTTAAAATGCTTTCACACTAGATATCATAAAATGTTGCTTCTTTCATCTCAACCTCCCTGCGTGTGTCAAATTGACAAGAAGAGGGACACTACTTCTGGCCTTTAAAAGATGCCCTTTTCAAAATATATTCTTCTCTCCTTCCGTGACATGTGAGCACACACAGACACAGCCGTCGCTGACATTTTCTTGCCACCTGCCTATGACACACACACACACACACTCCAACGTTGTGTTTGTGTGTGTGGGGGGTGGGGGGGGGGGAGTAAAAGAATGAACTGCAAACATATTCCTGTCAACAACCTTGAAACTACTCATATACAATATGAGATAAGGGCCTCATAACAACGTTATGCACATCTCCCTGTAGCAATAGGGAAAGCTGACTTGTATGTGCGAGCTGCAGCGCTGTGTCTCTCCCCCGAGTGTTAGCTCTGTGTCGCTGTCCCTGAAACCCCCCCTCCACCCCCACTCCGCTTAGAAACAGCCTCTCTATGTTTTGGATTGTCTCTCTACTCCACCAGGCTTCCTACTGAAAAGATCAAGGATGCAGTAGTGTGCTAATGTGGTGTGTGGGCGTAGTAGACAGATCTCACTGCACTCACTTCACAAATAACTGCAAGATTCAATTTGAACTCCACACTGCTCAAATAATAATAATATTTGGACTGAAGTTCCCCACCAGAAAATATTCTGTATCGTATCCTATTTTATAAGTAAATATGTAGTAAATTATCTATATGTCTGACGCCTTTTCCTTTCTGCTTTTCTCATGCGTTATTCACTCTGTATGCAAACTCTCCGGTCTGTGTAGGAATTCGCCCTGGAGACCAGAAGCCTGCACAGCAGATGGAGGAGCTGTGCGATTCTGCCACTGCAGTGCTCGATGCTGAGGGCTGAATTGTGTCCTGCCTCTGAAATAATTCAGCAACATCCTGCTTCTAACAAAGGTGAACAAAAAGGTGTGAGTGCGCACATGCAGCGTTTATTTAATTTTGAGCCAGTTCAAAGCTCCTTCTTTATAATTCAACCAAACTTGTCTCTTTTTTAATTATGTGCACGATCATTGGTGCTGAAAATTGACTTCGATGTATCATATAAATATATATAAATCAGCAGCATTTTACTTAATCGTAGCCAATTATTATTTAAAAAAAGAAAAGACAGTAACACTTTAATGGAAGCCGTCTTGTGTACAGCATGATGTTCATTTTTATAAATGATGGTCCCATTTAGTGGAAAACAGACTAAGCCGGCTATGCTCTGGGAGGGGTGATTTTGTGAACCCTGGTTGCTACGGCGATGTTGTCTGATGGCTGTTAAGGTTACTACTTTCACTTCTATAGTCTAGGGCAGGGGTCGCAAGCGCATGTGGCCCTTCTGCCCCGCTCGCTGAGGGTTTGAAAAAAAATATCATTCATTTCTTTGCCGAGTGGACAAAACACCTCCTATGTTGGAGTTTGAGTGAGACACTAAAAATATAATTTGGAGAGATGAGCGAGAAAGAGCAACAGGAATAGCATCAAGACATGAGACCTTCACTGACCTCCTAAACTCAGGAAATACGATAAATTATTCTTATCTTGAACCATTTAGAACAGACTGACCCTAACATGTCATTCAGTACGTTACAATACTGTCACAAAGTGGATCATGTCTCCACACCAGACTAAAGCTGCAGGTGCTGTTGCACAAGAGAGTAAAACGTGGAAAGCTGCTCACAGACGCATCAAACGTGAAATACACGAGCAGCTATTCTCGACTTGTGTGTTCAGATCCTACGCTTTACGACTAAGAGACGTTAGTCTCACTTAAATATAGACTGAGCTATATCTTCTGTTAAATATTGTAATAAAAAGCCAAATAACAATAATGTCAAGAATTTTATTGTACATACTATAGTTTTCAATACACAATATAAGCATATATAAGAAGCTTTTGGGGCTCCATAAAACTTTGATCTGGTGGCAGAGGTTGTTGACGTCTCGGGCATTGTCACAATAATACTCATTTTCCATCCAGGTGCATATCAAAACGTTCAATAATCTGAATCAATCTGCAAGGATGATCAATAGCATTTGTTTTGGGTGCAAGAATGGCTAGAAGATATAGAAGGTTAATTATCCTTTTTGCTAATGTGTTAAATGATTCATTCAATCCAGCATTAACAGAAAACATGTTTCTGAACATTTTGTATATCATATGTCAGGTTACTGTACACCAGTTTAGAGAAAATGTTGTTTTGTTTTGTCAAATTTTTGCAATGTTTCATCTGATGAGCAAATGTTAAACAGGTTGCTTTATATTTCAAACAGAAGGGTTCATTTATAATGTCTAATTGGGTCCTTGAACTCTTGAGGTTCCCTGCAAATGTTTTAATTGACATACAGGATAATGAGCGAGCAGGAAAACGTGTGTGTTTCGCTGCGCACTCAGAAGCAATTAAAAGCCTCCCTAAATCCCCTGATGAGATCAATGCGCAGATCAAAAGATCAATGATGCTGCGTGCCTGATACAGAGGTTTAGGGAGGTAAATGTGCAGTTAGATAGTCTAGATGCCCTCAAGTAGACAACGTGTTAGATTTGTGGATGAGAGCAGAATGCTAGAGCGAAAATATGAGTGTTAGGCACATGGTTTTAAATATTACAGTCCACCTTTTTACTGTGGATTATATGGGTAATTGTAATTTAATGTATATAAACAGCAGTAGGGTGTCTGTACAATTTACATGACAATTTGCTTTTACTTAAACTTTATTTCTCTGATCAAATATCCTCAGTTACTTAAACAGTTGCTAACATGTCGCCGTTTGATAATTCAGACATTCATTTCCAATAAAACATTCTGTCTACTAAGGACTAAGCACCAGAAGCTGCACCTTAAATCGTATGGGACCCATAACGGCTCTTTGTATTACAACTATTTCCATCTTCTACTAATCTGAAGCAGAAAACATGTCTTGTACCCAGGCAGTCATTAGGCGTGCGGCACGCAGGTGGGAGAATGACGATATTCGCAGGGGTCCAGCGAGAATGAGTTTAAAGTGTTTATTTAATTCCTTTTCTTGGATGCAAATTGGTTAGCTGTTGTCATTGGACACAACATTGATTGTATTCTACTCCCCGCTGGGTAAAGAAACAATCCGCGAGTTTGATGACCAACAAACATGACGAGCTGAAATCATTGTAATGATCAATGAAGAAGGTCCTTGTTTGAAGGCCTCTATTTAGTTTGCTTTAAAGATATC